AGAGAGAGAGAGAGAGAGAGAGAGAGAGAGAGAGAGAGAGAGAGATTGAGATTCAATAAAGCTCACACAGATAACTTCAGGGGAGTCTATCTAAAACCAGGGTGCTAAATAATGTCCAGGCTTCCTCTGCAGTAGCCCCCAGGGTGGGCCAGTGCTCAGTCTAATCCTGTATTCCTCTCTATCACCATGGGAGCCAGCAGCTTGTGCCTCCCAGGGCAGAGCACTGTGTTTTGGTTGGCATCAGGGACACCCAGGCCAGAAACTGGAAGAGGAAACCCCTGAGGCTGCCAGGGCTGGGTGTGGGCCTGGCCTTGCCATGGTCTGCCAGGCCCCACGGAAGGAAGGACACACTGGGAAATATCTTCTCCTTGGCCTTGGCTGCACCTACTGTGTGTGGCTCAAACCCAGCCAAGTCCAGCAATGGTGGTCTGAGGTGAAGCTCGGCCACCACAGGCCACCTCCATCTTCCGGGTGACCACATCTCTTATCTTCTCTCAGACACTCTCCGGGGACTTCTTCCACGCTCAACTCCTCACCTTTTAGTCACCAGCTCTTTCTTCATCCCCAGGGCAAAGCAGAGATGTGGCTGCTCAGGGAGGACTGGACATCCCATAGTCCTTCCTGCTGATGGCAGAAGAGACCCTCTGTTCCCCGGGCTAGGCTTGAACGTGAAGAACCACCTGACTCTGGAGGTTCTCACTCCCGGAGGAGGTTGTGACAAGCCCACGGGAACAGAGAAGTGTGAGGCTAACCCATCCCTACCTCTGCCTGTTGGTGGAGCCGCCTCAGAGTTCCCATGGCTTCTCCAGATGGCTTGCACGGAGAGCAGTAGGCTGTCGCCATCTTACTGTGTGATCTTGGGTGACGAGCTTCACCTCTCTGGATCTCAGAGAAAGCCCTAGGTTCTGGTGAATCAATAGTGAAGTAGCTAGATCAAGGCGGGGAGGAAATCTAAGTCCCTAGGCAGTGGCGGGAGGAGAGACAGGCAGAAGGAAGCCCAGGAGGCCTCCAGGTAGGCCCGCCCCATCACACCTGCTCTCTGTTTGGGGAAAAGGAACTCAGTGGGGGAGGGCTTCGAGCCAGAGCCCTCAAAGAATTAATCATGCCATAATTAGGGTCATTATGAATCTTCTGCATGGTAATGCCAGGGCCTCTTGTTTACCCAACTCTTCTGTCACAGGAGACTGCTGCTCTTCTGGGAAAGAACTGGAGGCCAAGGAAGGTCAGGTCTTCCCATAGTTGTGAGCCCCCAGGCCAAGGAAGGCCAGGTCTTCAGTACGTGTGCACCCCAGGCGATGCAGTTTTCCCAGGGCAGAGGCATCCTCTCCAGTCCCTCTCCAGCTTTCTCCTGGCCTGTCCTACCCTCAGGCTCTGAGCTCTCTCACTGGTATGTTAGAGGCTTCCACTGGGGTCGGTCAGACGTGACTTAGCGGGCGGGCGCTCCATCTGGAAGCAGTAGGGCCCTTCCTGCCCTCAAGGAGATGACCTCAGTGTGGCAAAGGCAACCTCTCTCACAGATACAGGCACGGTGCTTTACAGTTTACAAAGAGCTTCCACATGCATCATCCTGGTGAGGTATCACACGGATTCCCAGGTAATTACCAAGATCTTCATTTCACAAACGTCATCAATGAGAGAAACAGGAAGCTGCCCAGGGCCTCAGATGCTGGAAATCACACATTCTGAGCCTTGCCTTGGCAGTGGGCTGAGGACCAGGTGTCTGCAGAACCTTCTCCCTCAGGCAGGGGCTTGGGCAACAAACCCGCATGTTTGGGGGTACAGTCAAGGCCATGGTTTTGACAGGTTCCAGTACCTGCCTAGAAGCCTTTGGTTCTCCTGGACCCAAAGACTGAGGATCCTTCCTTTGACAAACTTCTATCTCCAAAAATATTTACACTACAATTCATAACAGTAGCAAAATCACAGTTTCGAAGTAGCAACAAAATAAGTTTATGGTGGGAGGTCACCACAACATGAGGAAGTGTATTAAAGGGTCACAGCTTTAGGAAGGGTGAGAACCACGGTCCGAAAGCAAAGCTACAAGCGCAGGACTGAAGAGTCACCTCGAATGGCCAGCCCTGCCTGGCACAGTGGCACGTGCCTTTAATCCCAGCAGTTGGAAGGCAGACACAGACAGAGACAGGCAGAACCTGTGAGTTCATAGTTAGCCTGGTCTACATAGCGAGTTCCAGGCCAGCCAGTGTTACCAAGTGAGACCCTGTCTCAATAAAAGAATGGCTAGTCCTACCAGAGAGCAGAGTTTTTCGTCACAGAACCTTAGACTTCCAGCCCCATATTCCCAAACCAACTTCAACATCAGCTCACCCTGCGGAGCATGTTCCCAGCATTCAGCAGGCTGGGGCAGGAGGAGCCTGAGTTTAAGGCCAGCCTTTACTACAAAACAAGACCCTGTCTCAAAATAAATGAATGAAAAAAACCTCATGTTTTAAAAACCCTTTCCCTCAAGATGCCCACAACTATAGAATTCTAGAGCAAGCTGAGTAGGATTTCAGGATTAGGAAGTCACAAAATATCAGTCCCAAATAAATCGCAAGGACACTTTTTCTGGCCTCTCTCCAGTTGCTATGCTGGGTTCCTTAGGCTCCTAGGGCACTCCTGCCTCTCTGGAAGCTTGGGCAGCCCCTCCGAGCCATCAAGACAGCAGGAAGATTGTCCTGGGAGGAGTTCCTGGCCCTGTCATGGCTCCCCTCACTCACCAGCACTATCAGGTTCTCCCTGGAGTAACCCAGAGACCTTTGGCTGAGTCTAGAGGGCCAGCCTGGGGGAGCCTCGCATGGGGCTGACTCATCTACTCTCGGGTGGATGTCCGGGGCTTTGACGAACAGCCCAGGATTCAAAGGGCTCAGCAAGCTTTCTCTCATGACCTCTGGGACCCTGAGAAAGGGGGCCACTGGCATCAGGTTGGGTGGGGAAGAAGAAAGCTGGGTCTGGCAGAGACTTGACACCTTGAAAATTCTCTCTGCCCTGTTTTTTGTCCCTTGCAGGAATGGGGAGCAATGATTTATTTACTTATGTAAACCAGCAGGGTTCTTATCCAAACAAGCTCCTCCAGTCAGGCCCAGGATAGAGAGAGAAGCAAGGCCCTCCCACCTAAGGACACCTCCCCTGGTTCAAGCCTGCCCCTCCAGCCTGCATCCCCTCCTCCTGCACCAGGCTCCAAAGACAAGTCTTGCTGACAGCTTCAACATCTGTGCCCCGCCCCTCCCCCCTCAACTCCCATCCACATTAACACATGGACCTGTGCAAGCCCTGGGCTGAGCCACCCTGTCCCCAAGTCATCGCCTCGGCCCGTTGGGCTCGCATGGACCAGCCGAGGCCTTGAGAGCCATCAGTGACCTCAGTCCTTGGTCATCAGCTACTTCTACCCAGACTCCTGTCCCACATGGCCAGCCTTGTCTGAACCCCCAAGTATCTGCCACTTTGTACCCAGTGATCTGGACACAAGGCGCCACAGACCCAGACCCCTCCCTGACAAGGAGTCGCTGTAGCAGGGGACCTGGATATCACACACTGTGCTAGGCACCAAGGGGATGCCCACGTACTTGCCAGTGAGGAAAACCGGTTAAATGGGCAAAACAAGGAGAGAAAGAACCAATCAGAGCCTTTAAGATCTAGAAGCTGAGGCAGGAGGATAGAGTTCAAGGTCAGCCAGGGCTACACAACAAGATCCTGTCTCTAAATAAATAAACCACATAACTACAGAGCTATTCCTGAGTCTAGGCTGAATTCTGCCTTTGAATAATAATTAGTTGTTTCCCAATTTATAGGAAAAAATTAAGTGGCTTTAAAAAAAAAAAAGACTCAGTTAAGCACATTTCTCCTACAATTTTTTCTTAAGCCTCTGACACAGGTTTGCATGCTTCTGTCCCAGGTCTGATGAAGGTGCAAGACCCCCCCCCCCATCACCCCCCCCCCCCCCCCCCCCCCCCCCCCCCCCCCCCGTCATCGCTGTCTCTCTCTTCCCACAGCATTCTGCAAAGAGAAGCAGTCTCTCTGCCTAGGCATGTCTCAGTACATGAGGCCTAAACCTGTCTTCACCTTGTTCAAAGGGCCACCGTGTTCTCTCTGGTGATTAGCGCCTTGACTGACTGTTGAGGAAGGAAATCCTAGGAGTTGGGACCCACCTCAGGGCTCAGGGCAGTTCCATGGCGCAGGCCTCCAGTCCCACCATTTACCATTCATTCCTTTGACCAGAAAGCATGGCCTTCTCTAGGCTCCCTGTTCAGATGAATCCTCCCCGAAACTGTGGGCCCATTAGAAGCCCCCAAGTGGAGCTCAAAGAAATAACTAATACGAGCTATAGAGAGGCTACGCACAGGGGCTGGAGACAAGCCTATATTGCTTGAGTTCAAAACCCAGATTTCCTATTTAGTCACCTGGGCACGTGACCTAATGACACTATGCTTCAGTTTCCTGATTTATAACATGGGGTAATGGCATCAACCTCAGGGGCCGTTACAAGGGTTAGGTGAGCCACTACTACATCCGATGAGACTCGGAACTCAAACGCTATGCCAGGCAAGAGGACCCTCTTCACGGTGCTACACTTTCCTCATCCACAGATGGGACGATCGTCCCGTCCCTCCTGATTGTCTTCATAGACTGCAGAGTTCTTCCCCGAGAAGCCAGGGGGCTGTTCTCTGCAGCCCATCTCTACCTCCCCCGCCCCCACTTCCTTCCTTTCCTCTTTCTTTACCTGGAAGAAGGTCCGGTGGCTATGGGCTGCGCTCCAGGGGTGTCCTGTCCACAAAGATGGTGATGTCACTTCAATCACAGAGCTGGGGAGACAAGACGACAAGCTCACCGAGAGCCTTCATCTCCCTCCACATCTGGCTTGAATGAGCTCTGTCCTGGGACTTCCCACCCCGATGCTGCCCACCCCGTGCTGGGGGTGGGCCCACTGATGGGTAGTTCCCGGGAAGTCCCCAGTCCCTAGGGAAGCTACGAGGCTGGTGGCTGATCCAGGGACACACCGTCCCACCTCCCTTCCTGCAGGACAAACCCAGAGAACCTGTTCCCTGAACACCCATGCCTCTAGCAAGGGCCTATGAGAACAGGCCCCAGGTACAGCCATCTGGGGCAGAGACCTTCCCGCTGCCAGGGAACCTGCTTCCTCAGGGGAGCTGAGACCAGCTGTTCTTCCAAGGAAGCCGCCAGGGGAAGAAGGGGAGGGCCGGTGGGCCGGAGGTGGATCTGGGGCACCACAATTATGTGCCTGCATTATGACTCATGCATGGCCTCCCCACCAGCCCCCACAGCCAGGAGGACACCCCCCCACCGCAGGAGCTATGATGAGAGACAGGAGACTGGCTACAGAGGAAGGGGCCTCCAGTCAGCCCTTCAGACCTCAGAGGACATTGCCACCTTGCCTATTCAGGGACGCCAAGCCTGGCAGGGCACACAGGGCAGCAGTAGCCAGGCCTGGGCTCCTGTCAACCTGACAGCCCTCCTCACCCCACTCAGCTCTTGGAGGAAACATGAAGCACGGGTGACCAGCTTCGGAGTGGGCACGCAGAGTTGGGCCCAGAAACAGCTTCCAGACACTGGACAGGATTGACAGACTGATCGCTCTTTCTCTATCCCTGACTGCCCTCCACCCCACCCCCACCCTCCTGCTCAACCCCAGCCTCGGCAGCTCTCCCGAGCCTCCTCACAATCCTCGGGATGTGATGCATTTTATAGTTTACAAAGCACACTTATTGACACAGACCTGCTAGTGCAGGCCTGTAAATCTAACTAGTCAGGAGACCGAGGAAGAAGGGTAAAAAGTTCAAGGCTCTGTGGGCTTACAGGGTGACTCAAGGCCAGCCCGGACAACCTGGTGAGACATCTCAACTATTTTAAAAGTTAAAAGAAGGCTGGGGACACAGCACACCCCACGGCCCTGGGTCTAAGCCCACCATTAAAAAAAAAAAAAAAAAAAAAAAACCTCCAGTGTAGTAGCTATCTGAATAATGCCCATTTATTTTATAGGGATGGATATAAACAGAGCAGGGCAGCTCAGACTTGAGAGTACCAGGGACCACCCTGAGATCCTGTGAGCTGCAGTTGGCCTGGGTCTGCACTGGTTTGAGCCTGAGGTTCTGAATGCCCATGTCACAGCGCCAAGGACCACAGCCGAAGTAACAAGGACCTCCAAGAGAATACAGTGCTGCAGTAAGCTACCCGAGTACGATCTTGGCTTGGGTAGTGTGTTCTTGAACATTTTACTCAATCTCCTTCTGAATAAAGCAATCATATGATGCCTGCTCACTAGCCTGTGTGTGGGAGGAACTAGCTAATATGTGCAGAGCACCACGTGAGTCTTATTAGATTTGAAACCGAGGCTCTAGGGGTCTGGAAAGATGGCTCAGTGGTTATTGCCAAGCCTGCTGACCTGAGTTTGACCCTGGGGACACTCAGAGGAGAGAACTGACTTCACAAGCTGTCTTTTACACACACACACACACACACACACACTAAAAATAATAAACATTTCTAAAAGAAAGAAAGAAAGACGAAAGAAAGAAAGAAAGAAAG